CCCCCCCCCCAGGAGCCACGCACCGACACCGCCCATGCTGTGGCCAAAGAGCACGTCCACATGGGTGATCTTCTCCAGCGCCAGGATGTCCTCCATGTCTTCGGTTTGGGAGCGGATGGAAATCTTGTTCTGCCCGTCCATGTAGTCGCTGCTGAATTGCCCGCGGTAGTGCCAGTAGATGTAGGTGAACTGGTCGCCATATTGGCTGAGGATCGGGGTCCCCCAGACGGGGAAGTTGCCGCCGCATCCGAACCCCGACGCGATGACCATGATCTGCGACGGCACACGCCCCGCCACAGGGAGGGCCGGGACCGACACGCCGGGGAGGGAGGTCTGTCAGTGCCACGGATGCACACATGCGCAAGGAGAACACCCCGGCACCGGCCCCAGGCGGGGAGACGAGGGCCGGGCACCTGGTCGCATGCCCACGCCTGCGCGCACCTTGGACCCGGGCCGGCCGGGGATCACAAAGTACCGGACCACCGACCCGTCGCGCGTGGTCATGGTCTTGGAGATGGCTCGCTCGAGTAGCTCATGCCCGGAATGGTAGTTCCGGAAGCGGAAGCGCCGGGGAAAGAGCCGGCGGAAGGTCTGCACGCTCATCTGATAGGTGAACAGCCCGGCCAGCGGGCCGAACGCCAACCACGGCTGGCCGATCCACAGCAGCCCCAGCACCCAGGTGATGGCGATCAGGTAGAGCGTGCGCCAGACCATGGAAAAGACCATGGCGCTGCCGGGCCCGGCAATCACCTCTTCGGAAGCCAGCTTCTTCGAGCGGCCCATGAAATGCCGGAAGAGCTGCTGGTCGCGCAGGGTGTGAGCGGTGCGGGCGCCGGCCAGCGCCGAGCGCAGCTTCGGCCCGGGCACCGCCGAGCTGGTGCCGAAGGCCAGTCCAGCACTCGATGGCTGGGGGTCAAAGATGGTGGCCGTGTGCACGGCCGCCTCGAGGCCCTTGCCGCGCTGGAGCGGGCGCTCATCGGGGCCCGGTCCCCCGTTGATGCCTGGGTCCTCGACCAGGGTGACAGTCATGCTGCTGGGTGCACGATCGGTCTTCGGCTGTTGGGGTGGGCGAGGAGGCGGGAGACAGGGGGCCGGGAGCGAGAGACCGAGAGAGACCGAGAGAGAGATCGAGAGAGAGAGAGAGAGAGAG